CATATGCGGAAATAGTGAGACTAAACATAAATCAAGGTCTAAGTCAAACATCAAAAACAATACATAATAAAGGAGATGAAGGTGATAACAGTGCAGTATTGGTATATCCTGAAAAAGAAGATAACATCGAGGTTAATATGAAGGAAGTGACAGGGAAGATCATGGATAGGATACAACCACACGAAATAAAAGTCAAAATAAAGCAACTAAAACAGATTAGAGGGAATGGTATATGCATAAGAGTAGGAAGTGAACAGGAAGGGAAAAGGTTAAAGAAGGCAATAGAAAATATATCAGAAATCAAAGAAAACATCAATTGCAAAATATCCACAGGTAAAAAACCGAGAGTAATATTATTAAATGTCCCTCAAAGTATACCAGAAGAAAATATAATTGAAATAATGTCGGAACAAAACAATATCTGGAGAAACATGAATAGTACAACAGTAAAAGAGAACTGCAAGATAAGTACAGTTATAAGAGGAGGGAAGAACAAAGAAAACTGTCATCATGTGGTACTCCTAGTTACTCCACAAATCAGAAATATTCTCATAAGCCAAAAGAAAATATCATTATCTTGGTCAACAATCTGGGTGGATGACTTTGTACCTGTTACCAGGTGTTTTAAATGCTGTGGTTTCGGGCATTGGGCGAGAGATTGTCAGAAAGAACAAATATGCAGTCACTGCACAAAAGGACATTGCTTTAAGGACTGTAAAATGAGACATGAAATCCCAACATGTGCAAACTGCCTACAAACAAACAGAAACCTTCCACCCGAAAGGAAAAAACCTACAAACCACAACGCATTCAATAATCAATGCCCATTATTACTGAAAGTCAAGGAACAAATAATAAACAGAACAAATTACGAATTATAAAAGTAAGCAAAGGTACAATCTGGAAGACAATTACAGACAGTTAAAAATGGAAAACAATAGTAAAGAAGTTACAACGAAAACACTTAAAATACTTCAGGTTAACGCACAAAGATGTAAGGCAGCCAGTTCAATTTTAATGCATAAAGCAAAAGAATTAGAAGCGGATGTGGTTTTAATTCAGGAACCGTATACAATACAAAACTCAGTGGTTAGACTTGGAAACTGGCAAATTTTAAGTAAAAGTACGGAAAAAACACCAAAAAACTGTATTGCTGTTACCAATGGGACGATTGACATTGCACTAATTCCTAGTCTCTCATCTGAAATAATTACAACGGCTATTATACATCACGATCCGCCAATATATATAATAAACGCTTATCTATCCCCATATCTAAACGACAAAAAAGCAATAAACCAATTAGATAAAGTACTTAGAAAAATAGATAGTAAGTACATAATTATGGCTGGGGACTTAAATGCCAAATCGGAAGTTTGGTTTAATAAAAAAGAAGATAGAAGAGGACATATGATCATGGACTTAATGGAGGAATTTGAAATGATATCCGTGAATATGACCGACCACCCCACATTTTTTACACCAACCGCAAGAGGATGGACTGATGTTTGTTTAGTAACAGAAGACCTAGCACAGAATATAGTCACATGTGAAACATTGCTGAGTATCACAGGATCCGACCACAGATACATATTCACAAAAATTGGTCATCTCCAAAACATTAAACAAAACGAAAGAAGAATCATTAAACATACAAACTGGAAATGGTACCAAGACTTTTTTAACACAAACTGGTCAAGCCATGAATTCCCATATATTAAAACGAAAGACGATATAGAGAAATACATTAACTATGTAACAACAGATATGAAAAAAGCATGGATCCAAGCAAGTCGAGAAATAAAAACAAAGCAAAAAAGGACACACTGGTGGACTAACGACCTACAGAAACAAAAGAAAAACTTAAATAAAGTTAGAAAACAGCAAAACAGGACCAAGGAAGAAAGTAAAAAACAACAACTAAAGGAAAAATACAAGGATCTTCTCAGGAAATATAAGAAAAACGTCAACTCTACCAGAACTGAAAAATGGAGGATATTTTGTACTGAAAATAATTCTAAGGGACCATGGGATCTTCCTTATCACCTGATATTTAATAAAAAGAAAAAACTAAAATTACCAGACATAATAGAAGAAAACGATGAAAATCAACAAAACTCCCACCACAACATTGAAGAAAACATCAATAAAATTCTAGATTATCAATTTCCAAGGGATAACGAAAAAGAAACGGAAGAGGATGACGAATTGCAAATACAAACGGATCTCCAAAATAGTCAAAGAGAAGAAGAGGAAAATATAAAATTATTTACCTTCCAAGAAATAAAAAATGCAATCACCTCAATGAAAAATGGAAAATCTCCCGGTCCAGATAAAATTACACCGGAAATGTTAAAAAATGCCTTTAAAGAAATACCAATAGTGTTTGTTTACTTATTCAACGAATNAATTTCATCAATTGTAATCCAGATATTCCTCTGGAAAAGGCAAAAGTAGTACTAAATCTATGTAACATTTTTATTGGAAAGTATGTATTTGCTGTACGGTTTAAAAATGCCATCTTGTCTTTAATGTCATTGCAAGTTGCAATGACACATGGAAATTGTAACTCTGCACTTTTGTATTATGTATATATTTGTCACTCTGTATTTTATACTTTTGTACATATGTTGTTTAAGTAAATGCCGATGCAGATGCCCCTGGGGTTCCATGGGGGTGCCATGGTACTCTCTTTTTCACACTGTCCTATCCTTCTATCTTTCATCTTCCATCACTAAACTCTTCTTTCAACTTCAAAACAGGGCTAAGTCTTCTGCTAAATAAGACAGCCCTACTTAACTTTCTTTGTTGAAGTAACAAAAATTAAAAAAGAGAACGACAGGATAGAGGCCAGAGGAGAAGAAACAAATCCTCCAGGGCACTCATGCAGAGAGACAGCTGGGAGCTCACTTGCATTAGGTGGAATTGGGGGCATGATTCCTTTGGTACCTTCCTTTTTGGGAATTTGACAGAGTTGTGAATATTCATTATATCTTGGCAATGATAAATCAATTAGTAAGTTGTCATGGACATAAATTATTATGTCTTATTCACCTATTTTCTGATGAATCAATAATCAAGGAACATGGATTTATTCCACACCTACACCTCAGTCTAGCCATTAAATGTACTTCAAAATGGAAGAAAGAGACTCCTGTCACTATAAATAAATAATATTGGCATCTTGGTCCTCCCAAAACCTGCTTAAGATATCTCCCAGGAGTTGTTTTAACTTCTCATTTCCAACTGAGATCAACAATCCAAATAGAAAATATTTGTCATTTCATTATTCCTCTCATCAAGAATATAATCAATGAGACTGAATTACAAATAATCTGAACTCTTCTAACCGAAAAGACAGAGTCGTCTTCATGTCAAGAATTTCAAGCAGACATTGATATTTTGCAGGCAGACAAATCATGAAGCCAAATGGAACAAGATCTAAAACAACTCCTTTCATCCCATAAGGAAAATCCATTCTCCAGCCCTTTTTCGATCTTCAACAGTCATCACCTTAATCACAATTGCTTCCATTTTTGGAATTGTGAGTCTTTCCATTGCATTTTATTATTGTCGTCAAAACGCTCATCAACACTCATGACTGACCTGGCACCCTGCTATTGAATTAACAGAATATACCAGATACACCACCAGCAACTCCAATCTAACACCTAAATCCTCAGGATAGAGCCTCAATTCTTATGTGAACTCTGTTTCAAGGAATCTTTAATATCACACATTTTGGTTTACGTTCATAATGGTCCATTATTTCTCATAACTACATATTAAAATATGGAATATTTATCATTTGCATTACCCTATGACATGGAAGAACCTCTACTAGTTGATTGAGGAGCATATAGAGGCCCTCAAGAAAGCGAAAGAGCAATGAACTTTGCAAATGAATTCCTTACTTCTCATTTTCCTTTTGGGATATAACCCCACTAATATTAATGGCCAGCTATTTTCAAGAAATTGCTCAACCAACAGTTATTAGAGAGGAGAGAGAATGTGTGAACATAATAAAAGTTTCATATTTTGAATAACCAGGGGTACGTTCGTAAAGTCGAACGAGTTAAACGCGTTCTAACCACTAGCTCCCTGCATGACCTTATCAATTTTGGTCATCAGAATAGCAGGGGGGAATAACCCCAAAATAGGAGGGGAATACTATAAACACTCTCTCTCATTTTGGCATGCATTAACACACTCCACTCTATTTCAATTTTCTTTGTAAATTTTTTTTCCCACTTGAAAATTAAATATTTGTTGTTTGCTGGTTAAATACATAGTGGAGTGTGTTATTTCTGGTGCACTGTCTCCTCCATCCCTCCTCTCTCTCTGCACTCTCTCCTCCATCCTGGGCCCATTCATTGTCTCATACAAGACCGCTCACGCAATAATTATACAGAAGGTTCCTATGCAACTGAAATCATGGGACATGTCAATTCTGACTTGGGCACAGCCAACATAGCCATCACAGTGTTGACATAATGGTCACACCAGTGTTCAACTTTGTGATAATACCTTCATCTCCTTGGAGTGAAAAAGAATGCATACAAAATTAGACATGATAAAATTTACTCCAAAGTACTATAAGTTAACATAAGTTATCTCTGATCACATTATGCTAACAAATTATATTGAGTTAAGTTGGGACAACAATAAAATTTGAGTTAGTGTGAATTTTGTCCTTTGAGAGTCTATTATATTTTCATAGTAATTATTTTGGATTTTATTATGTGTTAAAAAAATTAGGTTCGCTTCCAACATGAAGTCTATCCGGAAAAAACCGAACAAGCATCCAGGCAAGTGCTGATAATTCATGATGTAGAGATTCGAGATCGTCTAGCATCTTCCAAAATCAATAAGTTTCTTTACCAGTATGCATCTCAAGCCATGCCTCGTCAGTCTCATGCTAACATGGTTACTATTTTTATTTTGTTTTTGTCTGTCAATTTTACTTCTTACATGGAAAATTTGATTAAAATTGCTTGCAGGTCGTCATCAAAGCCGTTCACATCAGACCGGATCCAAATCTTCTTACACAAGAATGTTCGTTGAAAGTTTCTCTAAAACCTTTACGACTCAATGTTGACCAAGCAAGTCTGCCTTTTTTTCCTTTCTGCTTTTATTTTCCTTTTTTTTTTTCTTAGGTTTAAAAGTATAATGATTCATTTTTAGGATGCTCTGTTGTTTTTATATAACTTTTTTACTGAAGTCTGTGATATCTCATCTGGTAAGGATACAGTAGGTAAGTATTATGAGGAGAACCTTTAATATTGTGAGAAATAACACGAAAGTTTACCATAAAAATTTATAGAAAGTAATACTGAGACCTCGACCACACCTCACCATTCTCCCGTAATGGGAGTGACTTCGCCAACGTCGTCTGGTCTAACCCCGACAGAACCTGATCGCTTACTGATCATGCTACAGGAAAGAACAGAAGAAACTCAAGATCTAATAAGCCCTTTACAAGAGAATGCTAATAATGATGGCAAGAGCAACATTTCAAGTAACAAATCCTTTACGACACCCATATTTTTCAGGTAAATTTTTCGTAGTAACACTTCCAAGAACATTAGAGCGTATTTTGATTCTAATTTTCATGTAAAACGCTTAGGTCCTTCGAATTTACTCCAGATGTTCCTATTAAATTAGATTATCACGGAAAGCGAGTCGACATGGAACAGGTGAGTGTTGTACTAAAATATAACTATGTGTAATGAATGAGAATACAGAATAGTTTTCATAATAGGGTGCATTAGCTGGTATATTAATGGGACTAGGTCAACTGAATAATTCTGAATTAAAATTAAAAAGGTTATCCTACAGACATGGGTAAGTTATCTGCCACTTTCCTCTTTATATAGTTATACAATTGTCAAGCTTTATCAAACTTAACATTCAACAGGCTTCTAGGCATAGATAAGTTATTAGCGTACATTTTAAACGAATGGCTTACAGACATTAGAAGAAATCAGTTACCTAGTGTATTAGTTGGTGTTGGTCCAATGCATTCTGTAGTTCAGTTAAGTAAGTAAGAAAGAAACCTAAAACCTTTGTTTTCAGTTTATACAAAATTAATTTTTATTATTTTATCTTCTAGTACAGGGAATTAGAGATCTGTTCTGGTTGCCGATTGAGCAGTATCGGAAAGATGGGCGAATCGTTCGAGGAATACAGAGGGGAGCCAATTCATTTACGACATCGACGGCAATGGCCTGTTTAGAATTAGCCAATAGACTCGTTCAAACAATTCAGGTACTACCAATTCTATAACATTTGTCTAAATCTGTATACAAGATATGATTATTAATTTGATTTTTTTTAAAGGGTGCTGCTGAATTCACTTATGACATGGTGTCTCCAGGTCCAAGTGTCAGGATAAAAAATCAGATTGCGAATAGAAAATGGCACTCCAGTTCTCAACCTGCAGACATCCGTGAAGGAATGGCAACAGCTTATCAAGTAGTCAGAGAAGTAAGATGTCATTTATTATTTTGTTCGACAATACCAACATGTGTATTATTTTGTTAGATGTGATATAAAAAAGTATTTATCGTAGGGTTTAGGAGATACAGCAAGAAATTTTGTGAAAATTGCATCGGAGGAGCACGAGCACAAAGGAGTCTCCGGAGCTGTGGGAGGAGTTCTGAGGCAGATACCACCGACAGTAGTTAAACCAATAATTTTGGCCACAGAAGCCACGTCGACAGTATTAGGAGGCGTTCGAAATCAGTTAGTTCCAGATGCCAGAAGAGAAGCCGTCGAGAAGTGGAGATGCGAACAGAGACATTAATTTTGATTGCATTGTAAAGGTGAGTTTTTAGATTTAAAAAAAAAAACTTCAAATTTACATCAAAAGTTACCTTACTACAAATCTTATTTTCAGATGATTGAGTCCTACTTGTGATAATATAAATTACAACCACTGACAAAAGGGGACAGGATATTTCAATCACCACTTATTTCCTCTTTATTTTTATATTTTTAAAACAAAAAGCCAGAGTATTGGATCTACAAATCATATATATATATATATATATAATTCTGCTAAGATAGGGTAAAAATCTACCATTCTAATAGTTGCACATATCAAAATAAAGAAAGAAAACTTAGTTTTCGAACATAGTCCATGCGGTAAACGTGTATAAATTCTCCTATTGATCTTGTCCCATTTTTCGGAAAAAATGCATTGTTATTGTGATAATGTATTTATGGTTGTACAGACTGCACGCGAGCATTTTTTGGAATATTTTAAGTGTTTAAAATTTTAAAGATTTACGACTGTTGACATCTGTATAGATCTATATATATCTATATATGTGTGCAAGTAAAGTTTATAACTGAAAAATCGGTCATCGTCGACAAAAGCTTTTCTTTTTCTTTTGTGATGAGTTTTATGTTGTTTGAATTTAGCAAAGTTCCATATGGCATAAGTGTCCTACTACTTATCATTTTCTCTGCTCGAAGGAGTCGATGGTGCGAATATTTATTTCAAGAGACGTATAAATGAAACTTGTGCAATTTTGTGTGCTTAGAGTAAGTGGCTGTATATAAGATATTTGCAATAAAACAAAAGCTCGTTTTTTTTCCATGTCGACATCTGTCGTTACTTTAAAAACAAGATCATGAAACATAGGTTATATAAATTTATTATTGTTCTAAAAATTTACATGATTTTTCTTATGTTAAAAATAATAATAATAATAATAGTAAATAAATTATTACAAACATGATATAAGTGGACGAATCTGTACATGCTAAAGAAAACTTTCTTTGAAAAATATTCTACGTTTAGAAGAAATATATTCAGATAAAAATTTAATTTTTCCTTACGAACAAGTCTATATAAATTATGGTGCAAGTGTTACATAACCATTAATACTTCAAGCTATTATTTGGCATTGGCTTCATTCCTGCAACATGTTTTTTTGTTAACTATGGGAATGATATGTGATTGAAAAGAATGCCATAATTACATCTACAGCTGCTTATGAACAAATCATTGGAAAATAAATATATATAGAAGAATTTTGTATCTGACAGCTAAGCTATGTGGTGTCTAGGAGCATTTGGCCAAAGGAAGCAGGGCTGCCTTTTAAAGACACGAAACAGAGAAACTAACAAATTTTATTGTTTTGCATTGTCTCTTAGAAGATGGAGAAAATATGATCGAAATGCGAAATGGCTTCATATAATGAGTGATCGAAGGGAAGTACAGCAAGAAATTCAGCTGCCATTGCCAAAGTCCTCAAGAATTATACTTTTATTTGATCGTCCTATAGTACTGAGATAGCATGTATTTATATTTTTAAATGAGAGGTGAGATCTTCAATGAGAGAATGCATCAAAATTTTTACATATTAGTTGCAAATTATTGCAATTTATAATTTTTATGTAATTATAATAGATCAGGAGAGGTGTGTATATCCGTTTTCATTAAGCCGTAGAGTTTAGATTCACGATAAAATGTCCACTTTGCTTTTGTAGATGAATTGATAATTGCATGATTTAGTGCAATAAAATAGAAATGTGTAATTGCATCGTACACTCAAAATGTAATTCTCACAAAGTGCAATACACTTCATACTTTGAATAAGCGAATCCACAAGAGTATCTTCTGCGAGGTTGTTCAGTGATCGTAATTAAATATTTTGCACTTAAATTGAGCAATAATAAATTTTAGCTTTTTATAAAATCATATTGCTTATTAATTTTATTTATTTTTTTCAAAATTTTGAGCATGTTTAAAACTAACTTAAAAAAAAAATTGTGCAGAAAATGCAAGACTAGTTTCAAAAATCACAGATGGGATCAGATTGATGCAGGCTCATTTAATCCATCATTGCATATTTGGAGTGATTAGAGTTTTAGAAAACAATTGGTGACATTATTTAGATGGTACAATCAAAATTTTGCCAAGTTGGCACTAAACTGATTGTAATGAAAGCTTCTACAAATTTAAACTGAAAGCAGCAAATGTACATTGTACCCAAATACACATTGCTGTTTCAATTAGACAGTAATCCATAATTTCTAACAATAGCATGTAAGCCTGTCTGCATACAAAACTGGAGCTTATAAAAAAAAACATTAGTGAATGTATACATATAAAAAATATTCAACTAAATGCAATAAATTCACTAACGTCTAGCTTAAAATAAATGCAATTTGTACAATTTGAATTCTCGTCGATTATACACCTGAGTTTTTGTCTGTCCAGCTAGCAAATAACTAACAAGTCTGTCAATTACGAAGTAATGCAACTGGGGTGAATAACTACGTTAACATTAGTATAAACAAATTATGCATAAACATTATTGTGGAATAAATAAGGTCTAGTGCAAGGTTCTAGAAGAGTCACCCAAGTCAGCAGTCCAGAGATGAATGCAATCATTATGAACACCCTGGTCGGCCTGGGATGGACGAAAATCTCTCCAAAATCCGGAAATCCCATGTGGTTACAAAATGCATGGACAAGAAATGGTGCCAAGAAATGATCTGAAGAAGAAATGAATTTACACTTTGGTATTTGTTTGTTAAAAGTGATGATGCAAGAATACAAAAATATTTTACCTGTGCGTATAAATAAATAAGCAGAATACATTCCAAAAATTGTCGTATATACAAGTTGAAATACTAAGGTGAAGAAAATTAAGTTTATATTGTAGATAGTCCATTATGATAATGAAACAAACAACACAAACTTACATGACTGTAGAACGGCATGTTTAATATTAGTTCCTATAATTAATCTCTCCCACAAATGATGTAAATGAGCTGTAAAAATAGAAATGATTTAAATCTGACATTTCGTGAAATGCAGATTTGTACTAGTGACTCACCTAATCCGAAGAACAGAGGACATATTAAAATAGACATCGAAGCACCGAAACAAGGCACTAGAATCGGTAGCATGCAGGCACGAAAGGTGAATTCTTCTGAAAATGGAGCCTGGTGAATTTGAAAGATATTTTAAAATGAAGCGAAATAATTTAATAACAATGAAACTGGTTTTAAAGTAATCAAGTGGTTAGATTTTGTAGCTGTTTATAAATACTAAATTTTCTCAAAAGATATTTCTAAGTTTCATGCTATTTCAATTTTTATGACATGCAAATTCTGTTATAAATATAGAGAAATAATAGAGAAATGCCCTGATCCAAACTTGGGAGTTCTCATAACAGAAGTTTCTTTATTTTCTTCGACCCAGTGCATGCAATAAACATAAAGTGGCCCAATAAAGGATTTTCCAAAAAGAAAGTTATAATAAATAGCAATGTTAATTATTATCTGAGAACATTATAACATATGTTATAAACATTGGTAAACTGTCCAAGTTTCACATTGCCCTTTACAATTTCTCAATGTGTGCATCTTGTCATGTCACACATATACAGTTGACCCCCCCTATAATTACGGTCCCTATAATTACGATTCCTATAAAACTACGAAAAAATATACGTATTTTGGAAATGTTGAGTCGGATTAGTGTAGAATCGATTAATTTTATGGAAGAAAACCTTTCAATCAGCCGTAGTCCGTAAACTTGACACGTGTCGGGCTGTGATTGGAACGACTTGTAAGAAATCGGATTCCTAATAAATTGGAACGTATCTATATCTTATAGGGGGGTCGACTGTACTCAAATTTGTCCTGTGCTTGCTGTGGCGTACCCATCATAACTTTTCCCATGGCTGCCATAATTCTACAGATCCCACAGATTACTCAAGTTACATGGTGATGAGTAATTCAAACTTTGCAAACTGCCTTCTGTGTTGCAAAGTCACCATTTTCATCTATGACACTTCTTAGAGGCAGTAGATGACAAGACACTTGAATACAGATGGGAGATGAAACTCAGATGGTTACTCTATTGATTAGTGTATGCCACATAGTTCTTGGATAATAATTAACATAATTGCAGTAATCTAAAATGATAGCATTATGTTCATTTTCGAAGATCCCATAGAAGATGATACTGAATAAGGGACACCTTCCAACCCATAGACAAAATAAATGGTGTTTCAAGAGCCATTGGATGTATTTATTTCTGAAAAAAAAATGAAAATAAGGTATTTTTGTGTCTGGCTTTTCCAAGTGCCAAAAAAATGGCCTCAAAATTTGTGACACAGCATACAAGTGCTTCACTCTAGCTAACCAACTTCCTGATTGATAATAAGAGGAAGTATTTTTTTCTCTTTACCTCTGGTAACTGTAGTTCAAACATGTATACATAGGTTTATCAATAAATTTAATTCTTTAAATATTTGTCAGTGTATTTATACAGAATGGTGTGCTTATAACAGAATGTGGTAGTTTTTGGTATAAGTTTTGCAACAAAACCTATGGGATTACTGTTAATATTTGGATAAACTGTATGTAATTGTTGCACTGATAAGTCATGCAGTTTATCTAATTAAATTCATATAAATTGTATATATGTGATGGGGTATTATTCAACTTTTTCATTACAAAATTCCTTTCTTCAATAAAGATTCAAGTAATTTTGTATCTCAAATTCTGGAAATGCATTATTTATTACAGATGCCAATTGATATTAACACTTAGCGACATAAAATATTGGTGCTTAATTTTTAACACAAACGCTGGAAGATTACAATACAGAAAAGTGTGTATAATATGATATAAATACCATCTGATACCATACAGATAAAAAGAAGTCATGAGTGTTACCACATAACCTTCTCAGCTAAGATCATGGAATTGCATACTACTTGTATATGAATGTACTGTACTGTACACTTATTTTTATGCCAATTTTGACACTTGCAGGAAACAAAATTTAACTTTGTATTTATTTTCATTTTGTTTTTTGGAAACATTATTTTGTGAAAGGGTTGGGAAGTTTCTCTTGTAATACAATGAAGATTCAATATATTATCAGTTATGGATAGTGGCAGACCTAGCTGGGTACAGCAAGTAAGGTGCACCAAGACAAGCCTTTACTAAAGGTAGATTTATACTAGGACTATCTGAGCAGTCATGTCAATTGAAACCATCCAACTGTGATTTGAAGGATGTGTGGCAAAACAGTGTATGCATGCACACTAACCAGTTCTGTCCTAAACAGCATAAATCTTAACCATTGTGGCACACTGTCATATATAATGCCTTACCTCCTGTACTAGCACATCATTAAAATTCTGTGTTTCCTTTCATTTCACACAATATATGGTTACTACACAATTCCCTTTATGTTTACTTACTTACTAAGTAAACATAAAGGGACTCTCATTAGTTGTGATATCCTTATGAATATTTTCAATGATTAGTTGACAACACAGTCATCATTCAAACAGTTTCGACTAGCTAAACATTATGATCTTGCCTATTCTGTCCATTATGTTTGTAACTGCCGATGGAGACGAACAAACTAAATCAGATACTCCTAGTGCAAATCTGCCTTAGCAAGGAAAAATAATAATTTTCAAATATTCCTTATAATATATTCAAATTTTGTGAAGTTATATAGAACCTACAAACTTTATTATATTGATATATAAATAATTTTTGGACCAGGGCCATGAAGCACTTGATCCATCACCAATTCAAATACTTCACAATTATGGATAAAGAACACTAAAATTCCTCTATAATTCTAAATAGACAAATGTCACATTAAAATGATTATTACATTCCTCAAATTTAACATCCGTTTGGAAACGAGTTTTCTGGACCATATTTTGGTCCAGAAAACTCATTTCTAAAACAGTCTTCTGCATTGTCATAAGCAATTCTCCTAGTAATTAAAGAAGAAAATGGACTAATCTATGGATGATAATTTTAATTGTCTTGGTGTTAGAACTGTAATTTGGAATAGCATATTATGCATTATTTTCTATTAGAGAAACAAACAAATTTGTTAATTAACTGGTGATTCTATCAAGTAGAATGCATACTTGGCCACACGCTATGATATAAGTTACTGTATAAATGTAATTCAACTAACAGTAACTTCTACCCAAATTCCAATCAGCATGAAGCATTTAATGGCTGTATTCACAACCAAAGAGTTAAGAGTTAGAAATTAACCAATATGCATTCACATACTAAAAGTAAACTTCTAACTTAATCCTTGGTTGTTAATATAGCTGTATGTATGTATTTAGTGAAGTACAAAATGGCCACTTAGTTTTAATACAGTCGTTTCAAATTAAAGAAGCATATAAGGTACTTACTACAATGTGATTTCTTAACCAGATCAAATTTCTTAAATTAGTAGACCAGTATGTTGTTTCTACAGGAGATGATAAAGTTTTTACTCATCAAATTTCATTAAATTTAATTAATTAAACAAATAAAACTCACCAAAATAAATAGTGCAGATGCCATCGATGTAGTGCATAAAAAGAGGACCAAAGAAAAGTACCTATAAATAAAGGTAAATCACTTAGATTTTAATTAAAATTACAGGTATCCCTTGATCAAATTAAAGTACAAAATTAATTGCGGCAATCCCTTTATTTACATGGCTTTACCAGTTGTTTTTTACTTAATATGGATACCATATTTTGATTAACGTAATTTTGATGCACACGGTTGGATCATGGGGTTAACCACATTAATCAAGGGATACCTGTACATCTCGTTTGTTCGTCATTTAAGATATAATTACCATTGTTAGTAATAGAGGAATGGTCAATGCAGCGATGCAGCCAGACCATCTGATCCCTAATAATTCCAGAATTCCTGGATTCTAGGATAATCAAGTTGCTTCAATTATTCAAATTATGAAATTTTTAAAAACAACTTCCTTACCTCTTTAAAATAATTAAAATTTGTTCCAAAATAAGTGAGAAATGGTGATATGATGGCAACAACGAAAACGCTTACGAATCTCCTCTTCACTGTCAGAGGATGATCTCTAAACACACAAAAAAGTTTATAAACATTCATCACACACTTAAAAGAATACACTTGATCCAAATTCTTCAACAAGATCTAAGATCAAAAAATGATGCAGACACTTCATTCAAATTCTAGTCTGAAAAAATTAATTTACAATTTGCATTTCTTATCATGTAATAGTTAATGTAAGATTTTTTTGTACTGGTAACAAGTTGTTCTGCTATTTTTACATCACTTCCTCACATGTTTTGTGAAGAATAGTCCATTTATCCATCACTGGACAACTCTAACAGCAGCCTATTAGTTTCTTTGAGAATCTGAATGATTATGGGTTACTGTTTAGGCAACAAAAAAAAAATGTAAATGGAAACTCAAAATATCATAACAGAGAAGGTTTTGTGAAAAGGTATCCCCCGTATCATTATATATGGAATACCCATGTATTGATGCATATGACACATGGGTAATGAACCAAGCATACATACAACATGTATGATTGATTTACAACAGTTATATTTATGTCAGAACTAAAAATGACTAGTAACATCTGAAAAAGCAAGAAACAAAACATGGATTCATACATATTTATGGATAGAATTACACCTCTGAATGAATGATTGGGACCTTACCAGAGCTGTAGACCATACCCTTAAGTGCAAAAAAGTCAAAGGAACCATACCTCTACATGTGATCCTTTGTGAGAAACAGCCCTGAAATCAGCCTACTTCCAGGTTGCATGTGATCGGGAGTCGTTTGCTCCACGAAGACTATCACATTTAACTATTTAGTCCACAACTATGCTGGCTTCAAGCGGCACACTTGATTGTTCGTGGAGTACTTGATTTTATGTAATTTTATGGGTGTGAGGCTGCTCGTCCATCTGACTGTATGTGGATTGTCACTATTGCTCGCCTTGACTGATGCAGAGCATGGAGAATAAGCAGTATACTTATTTGTGGTAAAAACTGACCTTTGGAGTGAAGGTTTGGAGAAGAATTCCATGTACAGGTATGGTTCCATTCACTTTTTTGCATGTACTGTACAAGGGAATCTTTAACTCTGAAATTGGCAAATACCTCATTCAGACTTCACTAATTCATATCATTGTAACGAATTAGCATAAATTGATAATTTATTAAAATCAAATGAAGATATAGAACCAATATATGTTATAGGTCCAATATTTAATCAATTCGACCATATACAGTAAATGAATACTTCACATAAATGCATCTTAACTATGTGATTTATTACATTAAAACCCAACACAGATGTTCCAAATCTACTATATTTACATTCATAAACAGACAAACTACGACTTGCAACGTGCTTACAGTTAGTAATACGAATAGAACTATGGATTCACCTGTGATTCATCTTCTTCCATATGTACAGGCTACCAACATAAGTAATAGCCAAAACGAAGCAGAATAATATCGCCTTGAAGCAATTTGAGTCCTGCGACAGATCTTTTTCGGATACTTGCGAGTCTCCACCGTCGGCAGCCATCTTGAATCCGCGACGAGGATACTCCTGGTGTCGAAAGTTTGAACTCGTGTAAATAATTGATAATACGTAATAAAATAAATAAATAATGGAACAAATTTAGTTTATAGAACACCAATTTAATAATAATAATAATGTTTAAATATAACGAAACGGTGAGTTTATATATTTAAAAATCATAAAATAAAGCAATTTTTACTTGGGTGAGTGAGTGTGCGTGATAGCGAGTCGTTATCGTTTGGTTTTCATTTAGTTTCCGAACGTTCTTAAAAATACAGTATTTTCGCTGTTTTGTACGCGAGTAAATTAATTAAAATTAAATTATTTTTCTTGTTAAATGCAATTAAAATAATGTTTTTAAACTAATTTTTATATTTCACATTATATAACTGGGAATTCTCAAATACAATCTACTTGGGAGGTTCGAAAATTCTACTCCAGTTAAATTAGTTTGGTTCTCGAGACTTTATGAACGTTCTAAATGTTTTATGCGATTTCAAGGATCTTCCTAAACCTCCCGTTCCGAAACTCGGATTAACGATTGAAAGATATCTGAATGGTATTAAAAGAATAATACCTGGAGAACAATACGCAGTGACTGAAAAATTAGCAAGAGAATTTAAGGATAGTGAAGAAGGAAACACCCTTCAATATCTGATAAAGGAATATGCGGAAGAGACTGACAATTACGTGAGTTATCTAATTTTAAACACGTTCGAAAAGTCCTCACGTGGTAAACAATTACGACGCATATTTTGGAGCGTAACGCATAAAAGTTTCTTTATGTTCCATATATTATTTTTGCTATTATCTTCTTATCATCCTTCTCCTCTACTTTATTACCTTATTCTTCCGATCATTCTTCTTTATCATCATCATTCATTGATTACATTCTTCTCCGCCATTTTCCTATGCATTGTATTCTTTCTTTCATCAACTTCTTTATTTTCTTATCTTCTTCCTCCTCCTGTAATATGGAATTACAGTAGTGTAAAATATCGTATACAGTATATGCCCCCCGCTTTCTATATTGTGGGCCCAACCGAACCAACAATGGGCTTGTTGGTTCAGTCAGGCCCAAAATGAAAAATTTCTGAACACAGCCGATTTTTACAGGTTACAGAATTTTGGTTAAGTGACATGTACTTGAGATCGCCACTTCCACTTCCCATTAATTGTAATCCGTTTTTTATGTTACCAAAACAATCATTTAAGACTGATCTTGAACGTTATAGGTGAGACACTAAAAATGTTTTTATATATTTTACTCTAATACTATTACTATAAAGTATAAAACACCATTTACAATTCTTCCTTAAGTTACATCGCACAATTCATCATATTTTCTCTACTACAAAAGATTAAATTGGACAGGTAAACTTATCTGAAATTTTATATTTATTAATTTGAAGAATAATATATTAATTTATAGAGAAGAAGTAGAGCAAGATATTGTTTATACACATGGGAAAGGTTATCCTTTATCCATGGATACGGCTTATAAGTTATATTCTGGATATAGAAGGCCCGATATAGAAGACAAACAAATATTTGCCAAGTCGTCAAACCATATCATTGTCATTTGTAATAATCAGGTAATTGTGCCTTTGAAGAGAAGTCTAAATCAAGTGAAAATATGGTAATTTTTTAAAATAGATTTTTAGACTGCAATTTGAAGATAGTTCGGTTTATCCCAGTGAAGAAGCATTATGCAAAATTCTTACAAAAATTGAAGAAGAGAGTGTGAAAGAACCTATTTATCCTCCTGTAGGGATCATTACAACAGCGAGTCGTCTGGATTGTTCAAATTTTCGGCAGATTCTATCAGAAGGTATAAATTTAGACATTTCTGATGCCATATTTTTGATAATTTTCAATACTTTTATAATTGTCCAGATTATCGTGTGGGTAAAAATATTACTATTAATATATGGATTATCGGTTTGAATTCGATTCAGCCCTCATAATTTATAATAATGGATTGTATTGCATTATATGAAATACAATCCATTATGTGCTTATAAACCAAACACACTTGGAACTTGGACCAGTAGGGGCATATCTTTTGGCATCATTTGAAGAAAAAAATCTGTTAAAAATGCCAGTTCAAATATTTGTTACATGGAAAAACGTTGTATCTACCGGTAATTGCAGTGTTTCCGAGTAAAGTATTGTAGAAAACAAAATTAGAATTGCGTTGAACGTGTTCAGCAAGGTCTGAAAATTATCTCCGTTATATGGTTTTAAATTTCTTCAGATGACCAGCAATAACTATTGTGTGCAAGAATCACGATGTCATGCAACCGTGGATGACTTACAAACTCTTATCTCAGCAGAGAAGGTGCAGAAGTAATGCATAGATTTCAAAATCTAACAGATATTCCCTTGCCTTCTCTATATGATAGACCATTGCTCATAAGAACAACAAAGAAACGAGATCTTATGGACATGTCAAGAGTTTTAAAAGAACATGCTGAGTTGTACAGGACGTTGCACGCTGAGGAAGAAATCATCATAGACAGTTCTTTGAATACTGTAGAAAGTTTAGAAAATAAAAGATATTGTTTGTGTTTACAGTGAAATACTATATTTTTTTACTCTTGAAATAAAGAACTGTGGGTTTGGCTGCTCGTAATAAATACCTAAGGACAGATACAACGTTTTCCTGGGCAAGAGCTCAAATTATCATGGATACGAATCAGAATGTTGTTCCATATTCCTCACCATTATAGTAGTCCTTACTTGCAATGAAGGTTTTTGTGGGTTTGGTTTGCTCATAATGATGCATTACGAGTCGCCCCCATTACAAATTAGGCCCATTCATTAGCAGAAAAATTGTCACCAGCCATTTTATTTTAATACGCTACGCCCCTATTAATTAATCAATTAACCAATCGCTTATTTACAGATATAATTAATCAAGAATCAATTCAGAAAATCGAGGAATGTCTCTATATTTTGTGTATGGATAATTCTTTAAGGGATATCTTAAAAAGTGCAAAAGATTCAAACGAGAGAAAGGAAATTATGGCACGCCATATTTTTCACGGTAGCAAAATTGAACATTCTAGTGGAAATAGGTGGTTCGAGAAATGTTTACAAGTCAGAAAAATGATTTCATAAATCTTAAAAATCTATTCTATCGGGTAAAATGGTTTGGTTTATGTATAAATATATGCATTTTTACAGTTTATAATAACTAAAAATGGAGTTAATGGAGTTTGTATGGAACCTTCAATTTTGGATGAAAGTGTTCTTTTACAATTTTTACAGGAGTTTATGCTTTTTCTGACGTAATAAAATAAATAAATAATGGAACAAATTTAGTTTATAGAACACCAATTTAATAATAATAATAATGTTTAAATATAACGAAACGGTGAGTTTANAATTTTCCGTTGCGTGGCGCTGGACGGCGGAAAGTAGTTCGGCTGCCCAATGACGTTTTACCGAATTATAAAAGTTTTTGTACCAGGTTTGTACTAATACCGTTGCAATTTTTTCGCCGTCTTATAGGAATCGTAATTATAGGAACCCGTGTAGGGGGGTCTACTGTACTTATATTTTCCGTTAAAATTTCCAGAGAAGAAATAGATTCGAACTTTATACGAATTTTAGGACACGCGGAAGGTTATATCCCACTAGGCCATTTCGGTCATAAAAGTACGAGAGACGACGAGAAAATAAACACTTTTAATTGTCGCATTTGCGTCTTTTAAATTATAAAACCGTTTTTAACAAAGAATTACTTTAGAAAATTTTAATTAAAACAACGGTCGTTAATTTTGCAAGATATTCACAATTAATTTTATTCTTGTGTTAATAATTACACCAAAATTGCAGAAAATTGAAGGAAATGTCAACCGCCAGACGAAGGACGATTGATTTTCTCATTGCGGTTGCACCTTAGAAAATAAAATTGTGATTCGTACTTTGACATTAAACGTTAACCGTTTCAAAAACATTGCGGGTGTTTTTTATTTGGCTTTTTTCTTCACAAATTAAGTGCGCGACGTGGCATAAATTTAGAATTTTTTACTTTTCCGGCTCTGTTATAAATAACAGAGAAAATACAGTGTAAAAATGACCTCCCAGAGCCTTCTCCATTCTTGAATTTCTTGAACCAGTGTGTAGCGGGTCTGTTGACTACATCCTTTCCAAATGCCTCGGTTACATTATGGTCACTTTTGAAGAGACGAGAACACAGCACACAACTATATTCTTTCGTATGTTTCATATTGTCAGACATTACTGATGTGTCTATTTCCAATGAAATGTGTGATAAAACTTCCTTTTGCCACTCTACTTATATATATACCACATTAAACGTACGCACGAGCATAACTCGAATTGAAGTGAAAGATGATCAACAACACACAACGATTGATCAATTGTTATCGAAATATTCTTTTTCGGAAAATTATCGTTGCTAATTGTGATTTTCCGCTTGAAAATGTTTAAGTATTAATCGTTATATATTATCCGATTGCTACGAGAAGAGATTTTATAACATATCGCAGCGAGATATGTTTATTTTTAAAAATGAAACATGCAACTAGATTGTTAATAGGCTATAATATGGCTAATTAATTATCAAGATAGTAATTTGGACTACAGATAGATAGTTACGCTGCCTCTCGTGTTAAATTTAATCATTAGAAATAAATAAAATTAATTTAGTTTCGTTATAAATTAAGTGAATTTATCATTTATAAATATATGATATTTATTCTTAAAAGTAATGACCAATTATCTATAGACCATGTATCAAACTATGATTAGAAGTCCTCTAGCGGCGATATTTAAAATCAAGTCTCTTCTTATGGTAGTCAGACATTATGTGACTTTGTTTACTTTTTAATTTAATTAGGAAAATAAATCGTCCTAGAAGGAGAATTATGAATTCTATGTATCTAGAGAAATTAAAATGGATAATACACCCTAAAGAAGTTTTAGAAATTGAGTCAGCTGGTTATAAAATTAATCAGTAAGTAGTCATTAAGGAGGAATCAGTGATATGAAATGATTTGAATTTTTGCGCATTATTTGCATATTGTTTTAATTAAATAGTAATTTATATATGTTAGGTAGGGTTATTAAAATTCCTTAAAATTATTTCTGCCCGGTAGACACTAGGAGGGCCTTTTTTCATGTTTATAACGAGGACAACCAGGTAGTGAGGGATTAGTCTGACGAAAAATAGCTAAGGACTTTTTTGTGTGTTTCATTTTTGGCTCTTTCTCTCCTATGGGAACTAAGAAAGCTTTTTTTCTATACCCATCGTAGATTTGGCCAGGTCCACAATGGAGTCGACCGAACTTACGATGAGTATAGGCGATGAAGAACAGCTCATGTAAAATTCTTGAGGAGTTACTTGCCCGGATTCGATTCCGGGTCTCCAAAGCGACTCGGCTATTTTCTTTGACCTGGACTCGAATTCGAATTTTCCATACATTATTTTCAAGCTTCTTGAAAGTCGATTAAAATTAATCTGTATCTAGATAAAGTGATTAAAATCCAGGGAAGGATCAAATTTACATTCATAAAATCCTGATTTAAATTTGCTGTGGCCCTCCCTATATTGATATATTATGAGACCTTTCCTTCCCTACCATACAATAATAAATTTAAAGGCGTGAAACTCATATTATGAGGTCCTGTGTTGCTGTTTATGTTAATTTAAGTTACAGTGACAAATCCTAAAAATGGCTCACCAGTGGCCGAGTAAATAAAAAACTGCTTGCGCCTCGCCAACTGAGTGGCCATATGGAATTTTCCTGGTTTTCTTCGTGTTAGTAACAACTAAATAGGGGTCCAATTTCCCATAAAAGATCTCCCAGGAGGCATTCCCCTCGGAACATATTTGATTATGGCTCCGAGTGTAGCTTTGATTGCTTTGATCGCCAGTTTTTTTTTTTTTTTTTAACTCAGATAATTAGTAAAAACCATTATAACCCTTCTATTTATTACCCTTTTATAACTGATCCTCACAACCGTGGTACTTACACCTGACATGCATTCAGCACTTTTTCCGAGAGATAGGATTGCCAGACTGGACAAAAACCGGTCAATCGGTCTATTTTTTTTTAAAATAACTTTCTGCACTATAGGCACTAAGAGAGCTTTGTTTTACCAAACCAACAATGTGGCAACTGGGTAGTGAAAAACGTTAGTGAGAAACAGCGTCTAAATATCAGGATGGACTACCCCCCGAAAAATTCCTGGGGTTTTTTTGGCTAACCAAAATTCGATTCCTAGTCCCAGGACGGTAGGCTGCCATCTTAATCTGGCCATCAGACGGTATTCGAGACGTCTGGTCACTAACCTTAAGTTTAAATTCGGCCCTGATACTAAATCTTAATTTAAAACACAAAATGGCATTGATTATATTTATAAAATTATTTTATTAATTAATTTATAAATATATTTATAGACTCGTAAGCGAATTAGATCTGAAAATAATGAAATTTACTAAATACGGAAAGGAATTCATCAAAAGGAGAAACCTCAATCCTGATGTTTATATTGAAATATGCATACAAATGGCTTATTTTAGGTCGGTTTTTTAAAAATATCTTTTTATATTTTCTAATTTCATATTAACTAATTATTTTACGTAAAGATTATATAAAACGTTAACATCAACATATCAAGCCGCTTCGTTACGCAAATTTAGATATGGAAGATTTGATAATATTCGTGTTTCCAGCGAAGATTTAATGAATTTTTTCGAGATTTTTTATGATGAAACTGTCAAAAAGGTAAAAAATATAATCAATTTTTTTTCTTGGATGATGTTGCCTGGGATCTGGAGCTTTAAGGCCTCAGACACGTGTAGATACATACTGTACTTTTTGATACGCAATAAGTACTCGGAAGGTAAAAAAACACCGCCAAAACAACTCCGAATCCGCACTCACTAGGCATAGTTAACTAGGGCCTTGTTGAGGGCCTCGCACATCCTAAAATCATCACTGGTTATAACTAGACCACATATTCATAAGGTTTTATGCAACGTATTGAAAAATATATGAAATCAAACTAAATTTGAATACACAAATATCATGTTAAATATAGCATTTTTACCAAAAAAAAAAAAATTCTAAGAAATATTTTATTATAGGAAGAAAAAGTAAAACTTTTCCTTAAAGTCATTGAGAAACAAATTGAAATGTATATTTATGTAAGTAAAATATCTGTTCATAAGACATATTAACAGTCTAGTTTAAAATGTATATATATTTTTATGTATATGTGAAGACCATTAATGGAGAAGGTCCTGATAATCATCTTCTATGCTTGAAAGAATTTTCTCACAACAAAAGACAGTATGATCCAGCACTATTTAGAGATAAATCGTATCAAGAATATCTAAACTTTTGTCTGCAAATAAAGCAGGTAAATAATTATAAACGGTATCTTTGGAAGATTTTTGTAGGTCTGTTTTGTGCTAGATAAGCAAAATTTAATGAAGAAAAATTAGACTATACTTAGTGTTTATTTTCTAAAGTTTGTAAAATACTGTATATATATATATATATATATTTCAAATTGAAAACAAGTTAAAATCACACTTTCTTCTGCTAAAGATCTTATAATAGCGTATTTTTTTTAATGGAACCGAATTTAAAACTTCACAATTTAAAAAATAAACAAAAAATTTAAATTCTTTGCCAGAAAATGAATATAAGAACTTAACTTTTCAATAAGATTTCATTTAAAAATTTACAATTTCTAACTATAATATTGTGGTTGGATGGCCGATTGGTTAAGGCGACAGCCTGCCACTCTGTGGAATCTGGGATCGGATTCTGACAGGTCTAAAAATCCCAAGAGTTTTCTGTGGGTTCTTCTTCGGGATATGTTCGGTCCTGTCCCTCACTGCCCACCTTGTTGTGTGCGTGGTAAAATCCATAAAATGCATGCTAGAAAGGTTCTTTTTGTACCTACAAGGAAAAAGAGATAATATATATAGGAGACACCTCTGCTTTAAGCATGTAAATTTATGTTAAAAGTCGCGATTTGCTTATTTTTTTAAGTTAAAATTTCTTTATATTTAGATTAATTCCAAATATAATATAATCGTGGGATATGGACCTATGACGAGAGACGGCTATAGTTGCTGTTTTAATCTTCAAGAACATCAAATAATATTCACTCTGACATCATTTAATACATTCGAAAAAACAGATTTGCAAAGTTTTGCCCAACATTTGACATCAAGTTTGATCGAAATCGGCGAATTTTGTGAAAAGAATTTACGAAAACTCACAATAAAGTCAGTTAAAATTAGCGTAAATTCTATATAAGAATCATTTATATAATTTTTTCAAATGTTATTTTTATTATTTTCAGCACCAAAGAGAAATCATTGCGTAAATTAAAGCGAGAATAATTATCTAAATCGAGTCATAAAGTTTATTAGCTACGAGATGTTACCATTGACACCATGATTAAATTTCTTTAATTGAATAAATTAATTTCAAAATTTTTTGGTGATTTATTTGCTAATAAACATAAATAAACATAAAACATAAATACAAAACTTTAAAAGATATTAATTTTTTTATTTCGTATGAG